TCTTTGTAAAATGCAAATTTTGTGGAATTATGTCTAAAAGAGAAACTACACGCTGTTGAAGTTTTCCTCATATTAATAGCCTCATTGGATTAATAGTTCTATTAATTTGCTTTAAAATCAGAAAATTTTCAGGATAAATTAGATTAGAAACGATTTTTCACTCAATCGGGAAAAAAATTTCATCCTAATATGGGTATCGAGAGTAAAGGGCTCGAAAATATAGTCAAATTCTAATCATCTCGAATTCTTTTCAATTTCAATAGAAAAAAATCAAAGTGCTGTGGCAGAGAGAAAAAAAAAATCAGTTTCATCGAACACTTTTAATAATCATATGATTCAAATACTGGATTTTACGATGCGTTATTAACTTCGTTGAAGCAGACAGTTCAAATAGATGCAGGCTTTTAAGGTGATTTCCATGCTCGTATGATTTTTTATTATGCAGCTTGATAAATCACGTATAATGGAATCTTTTATTTCCAAAAGATTGGAACGAGAATTAATTCTTGTATATATCGTTTGATCGTTATTGTGTCCTTGAGGTAAATGATTTGCTCTGTTCATGGTTGGATATGAATGTTGGAATCATGAGCTATTGACCACTCATTAAGAAATTGTCAATATCAAGGTATTCAAAAGTCTTTTAATAAGATATATTATGTTCATTTCGTTTATCCTGTACGATTGTTTTAGTTCTTTCCAAGAATATTTGACTTTTGCTTTTACTCGTTTCAATACGGATATGAAATTACACCTTATTACATTTTCAACCCGAAATTTCCGTCAAATTACACTGAAGAGAGGTAAAACACTTAATTGATAAAGCACAAAGGATTATGAAATAAAGATTTTCATTTGTATAAGCTGCTAAACCATTAATAAGTTAAAGTTATCAAAGCCGCCGATAAAACGGACTATTGAAACCTATAAAAAATTTCATGTTTGTAAAGTGCCCCATAGTGACAAAAAAACATGATGTCTCAGCGACTTTGATGAGAATTCCAGTGAATTGCTAACAAAAATTCTCGAGTTCCAAGAATAGATAAGGAATACAACATCGTAAGCTTCTTGTATGTCGCATGACACATTCATGCAGTCGGTTATGCTCCTAACATCTATATATTAAGTGATTGTATTAAAACCTAAACATTATTCAGACCAAATATGGATGGTTAGAGTACAAATAATGAAGAATGTAGAGATAAAGAAATAGGAGAAATAAAGAATTGAGAGAAAGTCTAAATCGATGCAACCAACAATCATTCAATACTTAAAACTTGACCTTCCACTGCTACGATTTGATATGGCACAATTCTCTAAGACTTTCAAAATAAAGCACTAAAACACTAGTAGTACAATGCGGGAATATCAAGTGAGCAACGCTACATTTAATTTGTTCGTAAATTCCAAACGTCACGACCCTCTGCGTATACCGGTAAACAATTCATTTCATTCGATACAGTAGCGGTCTTGGCTTTATTGTAGCAGTCAATTTCTTCTTAACAAGACAACACAGTGATACGAGTTACAAAGCAGGAGAGGATTATATTGATAAATTAACTGCATAAAACCAATTCATTTATCTCGAGTGCTCGAATAGAGTGATCATTTTGATGATTTCATTCGTAAATATCTAGGAGAAAATTGTTTTATAACCAACTTCCTTCTAAATATATCCAGGTAATACAGTTTTTAAAAGTATGCAATAAAAGTAACGGGTGAGATGACAAAAATAAGAAATACTGGTTTATTAAGGAAAATTGCCTATGAGAGATGTGCCAAAACGTTGCAATGTTGGGATCATTAACGATACATCATCTTACCGAAGTTGTTTATGAGACTCCACAAAATAGGAAATCAAAGGATATAAACCAAAATTTCAAAAATTTTCGAAAGATGAAAAAGAAAAAAATTCAAATAATTCTATTTGCGGTACCAAACATAGAAAAAACAATTGCTCCGATAAAGCACTGCAAAGAAGTAAAAACAAACACATAGGCCCAAACGCTGCCCGTTTCATGTAATATATATCCAGCAAGATATACTCCGACAAAACCGGTTATTGCGGAAAACGCATTGAAAACACCTGGAAATTAAAAAATTTGCGGCAACATTTTAAATTCCAAAAATATCATGTTCTTCAAAAATACATACTGGAGAAATGAGATCATAGGATAAAATAAGCTTAGCTTGGAATAAAAATACATCAAGGTAATCTTTCCAGCTGCTTCTCTTGAAATTTGGTGAAATTTCTATAAACAATTTTAAAAGTGCAAAATTACCAAAAACTGAGCCAGTATGATTAGGAGCAAGATCACATGGATTCACCGAAACACCACCATGATGAAAGCCACGTGCTGCCATGGCTAATGTAAAAGTGAATAAAGCCGAACTGAAACTCATTGATTGCGTTGAAATTAGTAAGCATACTGCAATTGCAGTCAATGAAATGCCCTGAAAACATGAAAAATTGGCTTTCAAATTGGTAGATATTGTAATAAAGAATTCAGAATTACGCACAAACCAACATATCACAGATCGAATAAAAAATAAACCTCCATTAATTTCCTGGTTAGAGTAAGCGAATGCACATGGAGAAACAATGTTGTTGCAATAAACGGGGCAAAAAAGGCAGTTATAACAATTGCAAGTGAAGGTACTACATTATATACAACTCCTTTCGCTTCAGGATATGTATCTGCGAAATAATATGGAAGCCAACTAAACAGGGTATAATAAGCGTTCGCACCACAGTACTGCGCAATCGCTGCTGCCCTTAAAATTACCATACATAAGAATATCCTATTTTTTAAAAACTTTTCGCTAACACTCGCTAAACGTAATGAAAAATAGCAATATAATATTAATAATAGAATTATAAAAAAGATCCGATTTCTGTAACATAAAAAACTATTTGATGTACAAAACTTTTGCCAATCTCAATTTCAACCTTTAAAACGAAGGAACCACATGAGCTTCCCATTATTTTACACAAAACATCTACAAGCAAAAAAGAGGACACAACTTTCCAACATACCAAAATGATCGATGTTTCAAGAGTACACTCCAAGGAACCGCATTTTCGGAGGAATTACTATTAAATGATTTCCGCAAGCTATTAATTAAGGACATTTTCAATCCATCACTCTTTGCACTATTCAAGTCACCAGATTGGTTACGCGATGATGACATGAAGCGAAGCAATCCCCACCACAGAAATGACATCAATCCTAAAACGTTAGACGTAAAAACAATTTTTCAAATTAATAATGACAAATTAATTCCATTTAAGTGAAAACAGTGTGGTGATACCAAAATAGAGTATAACAGTGTAGCTGAAACAGTAACGCACATACCTACACATTGAAATAGCGCACGCCAACCAAAAGTTTCTAGTAATATTGAACCAACTGCACCCGCTAACGCTGTTCTAGAAGCACAAAAAATATACAGAAATATCTGTTAAATACGACTTTGCGACAAACTGCTGAAAAATTAAAAGTTTTTACCCAAGATGAGATCCTGCCAGACATATGCCTAATATGCGTCCCTTGTCAAATGACGTCAGGTGTCGAGAAGTCATCGAAGCCATCGATGGGAGATGGAAAGCTGCAAAATACATTACTCAAAAGAATTGTACATCTTGGCAGATCCAAAATTAACTCGAAGAAAACAATTCATTAAATGCATAAGAAATTTTTGACACTTTTAATTGCAGGTAATTTTAGAATCAATTATTAACCTTGTCCAATGCCTGTCGCAGAACGAATGATTATTATAAAGAGCATTGGATGGTTTGTTGCATATGACAGGTCGAATAACAAAGGAGTAAAGAAAGTAAGCAAAGCCCATGAGAATGTACAGATTCTCAATACCTTCTCAGCACCCACACGATCAGCCACGTGACCAGCAATTATTTGAGTGCAAGCATATCCCCAAAAGAACGACGACAATACAGTACCCTAAACATAAATTAATTTAAACTTAACTTTTCTCAAGTATTATATTCTGAAGAAAATCATTCCTGTGAATAATTTTAACAGCCCATTATCTTGCGACTAACAACATACTGGAATCACAGTTCATAACATACACTTTTTATAACATAATTATCTAGCAAAATGATATGAGCACGTAATATACTATGGTTGATTCACTAACATAGAACTCTTTGCTGCTTAAATAAAGATGTCATTTCCTATTTTAGAGGAAACTAAAAGATAAAACGTACTGCATCATTTTTGTTCCACGAATATTCGTGAGCAATAACTGTAGCACATACTGGTAAAGCAACACGTGCCGCATACAACATACATGTACCAAGAAACAAACTGGCTGTCCATAGACGACATTCCTGTCTGAAATTCGAATGCTAATTTACCATTTATCACCATTGATCGTTTCTGTCTCTCATAAGTTATCCCACAAACGGCATATAATTTATTAAAAGTAAAAGTTCCAGAGCAAACTCCTCTTAAAATTTAACTAAACTTACTCTAGCAAAGTTCATATATGACCATGCCTAGCATACAACACCATCCCTAAGAGTGTTACTGTATCAACCAATGAGATCACTCTGATTTAATTAAAAGTGCAATGACAAGAACGAAAGCTAATGTGAATCAAACCTGCTCCATAATTTATCACAACTGATAAGGCGACTTTCGACATCATGCTGCGGCAATTTCATGTCGGCGGGCAGAACATAGCCCGCCGTTCCCGAACAGTTCCTTTGTTTTCTTTTATTTACTTGAACGTTTAATTCATATGATGATAACAAGATATGAATAACTGGAACGAAGTGGAAGTGTCATTACTTCTACTTCATCACTAATAGATTACTCCTTCCAGAATGTTCTTTCAGACAAGTAAATTGATTATTACCTCGTTCACGTTCTCATATAGTACACATTTATGTCAATATTGATGTATAGAAATTTATAAAGTAGGATAGCGAAACGATAACAGTCATTATCTCATTCCTTCGCACATACTACATCCGATAGCACGACCAGAATTTCCTATCGTGAAATCCTGTCAACAATGACCTGATCCTTGCAATACTCATTCCTCACTATCCTGCTTAACCTCTTCGATACCGATTACTCATCACAACATACGTTCAACAATACGTGAAGATATCTTTAGATGACGTACTCTATCACCGGCCTAACACTACCACGTACCAACCAACCCGCCTTCCTCGCCTAACACACTCTTCTAACCATTCTCCCTTTCATCTCCATAAGCAATACTATTTTCTCCCTTATCGACCTTCTAAGCAAGCGAAATAACAAAAATAACAGAATTGAGATTTTTTTTAATGGAGAAAGAGAGAGAGAGAGAGAGA